CATGTTCAGAGCACTTGTTAAATGAACAATGGTGGACTGTTTGTGCTGCTCAATAAATAGTTTATTAACACTTCATTAGCAAAGTTTAGGTTTACTACAAACAGTGGAGATGTATTTAAATGCATATAAGAATGCTTGTGCACAGGCATGTAGAAGGGATATAGGCAGGGCTCGACTGGGACAAATCAGCCCTGGACACTTCATCCAGACCGGCCCACTATGCATGTAAACACGCGTACAGACACGCATCTACACATGCATTAATCTGCATGTAAAAATGACTGATTAGATTGTATTTACTATCAAAACCAAGAAAAAAACTATTAAAATAAAAAACAAAGAAAATGGAAATGATTTTACAAGGCTTTATTGTAAATAACTGGTCTTAATTTATGTGCAGCTTATTCTAATAGAAATATTAATGCTTAGGGTATACTGTGTGTGTGTGTGTGTGTGTGTGTGTGTGTGTATATATATATATATATATATATATAAAATGCAGTTTTCATTATGATAATTATTTAATGACACAAATGAAAATATAATAAACATCATGTAATATACTGCACATATTTAGCAAAATACTCCTCTATAGCTGTTTTTCAACTCAACTATGTGCTGTGGTGGTTAAATACCTGCAGGTAATGAACCTGCGTGAAGTTGGCCCCCCACCCAACGCAAAACGTCGTCAAAATATGCTCAATCGTTTGTGCTCCGTTTGTGCTGGTTTGTGCTGTAAAAAGTTTCGTTTGTGCTGCTTCGGTTTTTTAGATATTAAAATAATATTTTTAGGTCATTCTGAGGTCACTCAGCCCCCCCACATGATCAAAATTCACCCAAAATAGTTAATATCACTTAAGTCTTTTGCTGGCCTTCCAGCAAATAATTCATTGATTTTAACACATTTGGTGGCATCTGCCTCAAGTTCTTGTCGTTTTGTCTCTCTCAACTTCTCAGCCCCCCGTTTACATTTAGAGATTTTATGCTTTAACATGAATTTCGTTGCACATGAAAAAAGCGGCCGCTTTTCAAGTCTAGAACTTGAATTTGATTCCGATTGGCCAATGTTGAGTGAACACGTCATGTGTCCTCTTCACACAGTTAGATCTGTCAGTCTCGCAGCTCACGTCAGCTTCATGCGACTTCATGAGAGAGACACATAAGCCAGGAATTGGACAATACAACAATGTATTTACGATAGTGATGTACTTGCGATATTTACAATTAATAATGATTTAAAAACAAAATACAAAACATGCAAGCCCAACCAGACCGCGGCCCACCGGGAATCTTCCGGTAGTTCCGCTGGCCAGTACATGCCTGGATATAGACAGCAGAATGTTGATCTATGTGAATGGGGATCTCTTGTGGCTGTAATGTCATCTTTATGTGAAACCTCACACACCTTTTAGTACTTTGTTGTTGATAAAATGCACCCTAAAACTGCATTTAAAAATTGGCACAATGTGGGTTTTAGGAGAGTATTGCATGTCCCTGTGCAGAATGTGAAGTCACCTTTATGAGTTGCTTTATACAAGTTATTTCAAAACCGCTTTACAATGATAACAGGAAAATTATGCATTTCAGCTGAATTCAGTTCAACACTCAAAAAAATGAACTAGTGAGGTTGTGTGCACTTTACATAATATATTTATATATAGTTTACTTATAATAATTATATTTTTTGACTTTAAATGTTTTTTTCTATTAAGGTCTATGTAATTGTGTCTCAACTTGACAGTACAAAATCCTAATGAGTTGTCTAAACACAAACCATTTATGTTAAATAAAAAAGTGTGTACATCCAGAGGGTGGCAGTATAGTGCTAGCCGACTGCCATTTTGCCTGAACTTAATTTTATTGTGTTCAATCTGCTTAAATCTATGAACAACTTAAGTTTACTTAATCCGTTTGTGTTGGATTACATGATTGATTTGTGTTGCCTCAACTGAAACTGGGCAGTGCTTTTAGTTCCCAGCATGCTTTGCATATGGTTGAATTAAGAGAGAATAAATGTTAAAATTAAGTGTTATTTTATGGGTTTCTAGAAAAGGGGAAGACTTGATAGTGTGTAATAGTGTTTAATGTTAAATTACATTGGAATTATTAAACCATTTAAATTACAGTGGGTTACCATTGTGGAGAAGAGTGGAGCATTTTGTTTGTCTGTCGACTGATTTTCATTATTTTCAATTGCTTTGAATTAAGAAGCATGTAAATCTTAGCATTCAAGATGCTAATATGTGCTTCTGCTAGCAAATAGCTAGTTAAGGTCTATCAATTTAATTAAATGTCACTGAATCAAATGAAATATAAATGGATGAATGAATATAATAAAATGTCTTTGAATCATGTCAAGAAGCCTTTAAAAATACTACTTAAATTGGGTAATTTAAAATTACACAATTCCATTATGTTGAAGTTACCTAAACAAATTATGTTTGTTTAATGTAATCCAGTTATGTGGAACCTGTTGACAAATTAAAATTAATTAAAGCCAACATATTATTTTTTTTTGAGTGAATGTTGATTCAGTTGAAAAGATAAATTATTTTTTAAATTAAATTAATTTCATCTGTAAGGCAGTTATAAAAATGTCATCCAGTTCAGTTTTTCACACAGCATTGTTGTCAGATAAATAATTTTGTTGAATATTACTTGTTGCTATTGGTAACATGCTGTTGCTCAAGCTTTTTGGGTACTGGCAACATGCTTGTTGCCTTGGCTTACTCGGGTACATTCAGATTTGCTCTGTCAGTTTTATGTTGGGAGATATTGGCATTTGGTTTTGTTTTGGGGGATTATTGCTGCTCCCTGCTCTTATCCATATTAGGCTGCCTGGATCCACAGGGAGTTCTTGCCCAGAAAGGACCCATACCGCCAATCCAAACTGTGCGCTAATAGTCAATTTGACGATAGTGGTCCTGACAGAAATCAGATGCCATTTTTCTTGTGGTGCAACGGGTACATAAGGATTTAAAGGAAGAGTTCCCGGTTCCGGCTGACATAATCTATGCAGCCTAAAACTGAAATATAAAAAATGTATTATGTTATCTGAATGCTAGGTCAAAGAGATGTGTGATTTATATTTAAACTGAGAGAGTGTGTCTGCTGCCTGGACAATGTTTGGAAGACTGTTATAGGATAGGAAGGATAGGAAAAGGATCTACTGCCAGCAGTCGATTTTGATGTTTTAGGTGTTATCAACTGTCCGGAATTTTGAGATCGCAATAGGCGTGAAGGACTATAATGTGTTAAAGGGATGGTAAAATGCCATTTTCACAAGATGTAAAATAAATCTCTGATATCCCCAGAGTGTGTGTGAGAATTTTTAGCACAAAATACCCCCCAGATATTTTGATATAGCATGTTAAAGTAATCACTTTTTGAGGGTTTTCAAAAACGCACAGTTTTGTGCCTGGCCCTTTAAAATTCAAATGAGCAGCTGCAGAGGGCGGGGTTTCAAGAGCTCGTGTGTGTTAGCAGCTGCGATTTCCACACGCTGACACACTAAAATGTCAGAAACTGTTCTCCCTTTAATGTTAAAATGGAGTCAGTCAAAGATGGAGAGACTCAAGAAGAAGTGACAACATGTAGAATGAAAAAGGACGTCAATGATTAGTTGATGAGTAGGGCTGTCAAACGATTAATCGCGATTAATCGCCTCCAAAATAAAAGTTTGTGTTTAAATAATATATGTGTTGGTGCACTGTGTATTATTATTTTATATATATAAATACACACACATTCATGTATAGATTTAAGAAACACTTTCATGTATATAGTGTATAAAGATTTATGTATAATTTATATTATATATAAATATAAATATTTTATATATAAATGATTTTTTTTTACTTAAATATAGATGCATGTGTGTGTATTTACGTATATACAAAATAATTATATGTAAACACAAACTTTTATTTTAGATGCGATTAATCGCGATTAATCGTTTGACAGCCCTATTGATGAGTTTGTTGCTGATGTGGAGTTAACTATCTTCAATTCAGATATTCTTTCATTGTAATCTATAAATCGCTCATATAGGAACAGTTTTTAGACCCACTCAGAGTGACTTTCTATTGCATGTGAAAAGATGGATGCTAAAGTTTGAGCTGACTCACAAATGTACTCTTATAGACCTCATGCACCAGAGAAACGTGGGCACCGTCATCTTTAGAATATTGTCTTTGAACTTCCGTTTTTGCGGTCGCTCTGTATGTCTATGGCATCGCTGTCGATGAGTAATTAGCAGGTGAATAAGATTTAGGCTACTTATTGTAGAGTTAACAAAAGTTATCATGAGCTAATGTATATCATCAGCATTGTAGAGCAGATGTATTACAAATGTCGACCGGGAAATCAGTTCCGCATCAGGAAATCGGGAAAATTAGTTCTGCATTTGACGCAAGGATGCTCTTCAGTTTCCGGTTGGGGAGATTAAGCGGAGGAAAACCAAGGAAAACGGGATTATGGCAGAGTCTTCAAAATTTACTGTCCTCCTGTCTTTGAAACGAAACTTTCATATGTTTAGATGTAATTTTATATACAGTTATGTTTATTTAATATAATTTTAAAAAGAAGCATAAACATAACGAGGGGTGTCTGTTTTGTCTGTTTTTGTGCCTAACGTTTCTTTAGTATAACCATGGAGTATAAAATTCAATATAAATTCTCGGTATTGCATTGGACTCTACGATCGCCGGAAGTTATCGAGCAGACCTTCACCGGAAATACCGCCGTGCATAGAGCCCAAATACACATAGGATAAGTTCGTTCCTGCTTCTTTTTTATGTTCTGAAGATTTAAAAAATGTATTTATCAATTTATAAATTTCACTGTAAACTATGAAAGAAATGTATGTACATTTTTAGAATAATACATTTCGACATTAAACACAACAATGCACGCCATCGCATTCGCGACTCTATGAAAGCTCTCTTCCCAAGCAGTTTGAGGTGTGAACACTAGAGGTCAGCAGAGAGTCGGATAGATCTCATAGAAATCCACACCAAACAAAGATTTAGCTCATTAGCAGTACCTTTTTTTCCACAGCTGTATACTTTACAATCTTATATTGAACTTAAATTAAGGGTAAATAAAATTACAAACACATTAGGTTTTTAATAAAATAAAGATTTAACACTCAATAGACTGAGCTGAAAGTGTAATTCTTTATCTTGAAGCTGCTGCTGATACTTGTCTTCAGAGAGCATGTTTCTGCATCATCATGACCCTGTCAGTCTGCTCCCTGAACTCTGAGCCTGTCCTTTGAAAAGACACATTGTTTCTTAAGGCTGTTCTCTGAGTCTGTGTAGGAGAGACTGAGAGCAGCATTACACTGAAGCACAGCACTGCTGCCTACAGACATGGGTAAGCTCAGCATTTCTACTCTTTAAAAGGGACGTTTTGTCCAATTTTGTTTATGATTTGAGTGAAAAATGTTATCTGTAGTTTGATTAACTAGTACACACTTGCATATCTCATATTTGAGAGTGTCTGAATGTCACTGCAATACTAAATTCCTGCACAGGGGAGTTGCTCAGAACTAACTTTTCATTCATTCATAATTTTAGCATGTGTTTTAGTGGATGTTTGAAGTCAGTTCCTCACACAGGTGTAGATCATAGCTTTAACAATCATTCACTAACGCCATTACTTTTTGAACAGTATATGCCTTGTGGAATGTGGACTGCTTTGCTTGTGCTGTATTTCTTGAAAATCAAATTGCATTTTGTTTGATTTTTGGATATGTTAACTAGTGCTGTGTATGAATAGCTTTCTTTGTGTCTGTAGTAATTCAAATTATATCATTTTTCATTAAGTTTAACCAACTTTTCATACGCCGCTGTTCGAAAAGTGAGGAATCTGTAAGATTTAAAATGAGTTGCTCACCAAGGCTGCATTAATTTGATCAAAAATAGTAATATTGTGAAATACTTTTACCGTTTAACATAAAATATAATTTATTTCTGTGATCAAACAGAATTTTCAGCATCATTACTCCAGTCTTCAGTGCCACATGATCCTTCAGAAATCAGTCTAAGATCATTTCTGATTATCAATGTTGAAAATAGTTGTGCTGCTTCATATTACAAAATTACAAAAATAACGTTTTATAATATGATATTGCTGAGTCACAACTAGGGTTGGATATCGTTTTAATTTTAGCGATTCCGATTCTTATGGATTCCTAACTTTAGTCTTTATTTTCAAAATACCTCGCAAAAACAACTAACCTAACAAATATAAATTAAATAATTTTTTTTTTCTTTCCCTCTGGCTTTATTTATTTATTTAAGTGTATTTAAGGAGCCCTGTACTCATTTTATGAATTTGTTAAGGCATATTGTTTCTGCCTTTCCTGTTTTAACCTGTGAAGCACTTTGGGTCAACTGTTGTTCAGTTAAATGTGCTATACAAATAAAATGACTTGACTTATTTTAATAAATAAATATTGTTATTTATATACTCAGTAATTAAAATAAAAAAATAAACAAATTATCAAAGCATACCTGAACATTAGAAATAGATAGAATAGATAGAAATAAACAGTGTTTTAAGATGTTCAGACGTTTAGGTACAGAAACTGTAATCAAATGTAAAAAAAGAACACCACTTTATGAATAAAATATAGTTACACAAGTTATTTAGTCAAGAACTGTCTTTAATTGTTTGGTTAACCTTAATATAGAGACAACAGCTGGAATATTAGGCTGCTGTCGCTTTAAGAGCTGCACGGGTCCAATATACTACTGACGCATGTCTATTTTCTTTTTCAACTGTTTACAATAACTTAAGACATAACCGACTCTGTTTACGAAAATATTTTGACATATTTTTGTGTGTAATTGTCCGTTCAAGTGCAGAGAACTCAGTATAGACCATTTCACAAGATGTAAACAACACTGGTCCAGAAGCACTTCCTGTTTCAGTTTTTTAACACTACATAAAAGCTGGGATAAAATACAACCAACAGAACATTTAAAACTGAATCAAAAAGTTAAACAAACAAGATGTTTAAGATGCTTTTTTTTACATGTGAAATAAAGAAAACAGTTACAAACTGAAACAGGAAGTGCTTCTGGACCAGTGTTGTTTACATCTTTTGAAATGGTCTATATGAGTGGTGGCTTTCTGTGTGTGTGCTTTCAGAAAACAGCGCACGAGTCTTCTTGAGCTTGAATGGTTTAAATATGCACACAAATGAAATCTAAAAGCGGAATCTAAATTTTAATTTTGCAATAAGAATCTGATTCCTGACCTTAAAGCCTAGTTCACACTACATGATTTTAAAACGTCGGGCTGAACTGTGTGGCTCACATTACGTGACTTGCTCTCTGTGAAATCAGGAGTGTTCAAGTTGTTGAGCTGTTCACACCACACAACACAACGTGATCGATCCGCAACTGGAGGTAACGCACTATTCGAGTTGACAACGATTCTATCTTGTCTACAAACCACGTATTGTCACGAAAAAATCACACGATAAAACGAATCGGAAATACCCAGCGAGGAAGATGAAGAACACAACACGCGAATATGGACGTCAGACAGAAACTAGAGCTGGGAACTGTTTGCGTGATGATTTGCTCTGAGAGAAAAATTAAAAAATAAGATTTACCAGGTGATCTCAACCCATGCCTTGCTCTGATTGGCTGTAGCTCATGACATCACTGAGGTTGAGTCGTGTGACCACTCTGGATAACTAGCTTGCTAGATATTTTTCTGGGCCTGGCGAGGCGTCTGCGAGCGTCTTTGATGCGTTGTTGGCTCTTTCATACTAACAGATTGGCGAGCGTTCATCTCGCTAATCCCCCGATAACACCCTAACCTGTCCGCGAGCTCAACGATTTGCAAATCGGGCTTAAAATCATGTAGTGTGAACTAGGCTTAAGGCAAATAACCGTTATTTATATAGCACTTTTTAGAGTAGAGATTGTTTTACAGTGATAACAGGAAAATTATCCAACTTAAAGGGATAGTTCACTTTGAAATTAATGTTTGGTATGTTTTAGCTTACCTCAAGGGCATCCAAGATGTAGGTGTCTTTGTTTCCGCAGTAATTTCAATTTTGATATTTTTAGGTCAAACCGTTCTTGTCAGTCAGTCATATAATGGAGGTTTAGGGGGTCCACCTCAAAGATCATGCACAGAGAAGTCCAAATTAAACATGATTTAATGACTCGTAAATGTAAGTACACATTGATGGCCTAAGACAACACATTCTCACCCCAAAAAGTCATATAACTGACTTTTTTGGGACGTCTTTTGACCATACGTCAATATTTGCCTTTTTAGGGTACCCTTAAACGTCGGTAGATGGCGATCCCGGGCTGTCATACAACTGACGCTTTACCTTTAACGTCAGTTAGGTGACGGGTTAGGTTTAGGTCTGGGGTAGAGTTAGGATCCCATAACCTCATCTACCGACGTTTAAGGGGGCCCTAAAAAGGCGAATATTGACGTATGGTCAAAAGACGTCCCAAAACGTCAGTTATATGACTTTTTGGGGTGAGACTGCGCTGCCTAAGACACGAAACGAGCGGTTTGTGTGAGAAAACAAACAGTATTTATATCGGTTTTACCTCGTGTAACCACAGTCACGTCCTGAGGGCGCGGGCACTTCGGTCTGCGCAAGTGCCGGAAGTGATCTCTCGCGTGTGTACGTCACTCATTGTTTACACAGATTTCGGAAGTTTTATCCTTTTACTGTGAAGATCTAAACATAGTTAGATTACGACTGATAGACAAGAACGGTTTGACCTAAAAATATCAAAATTGAAACTACTGTGGAAACAAAGACACCTACATCTTGGATGCCCTTGAGGTAAGATAAAACGTATCAAAAACTAATTTCAAAGTGTGAACTATCCCTTTAAGTATTTGATCTTCGATTCCTAACCTTAGTCACACAATGCATTTAATTCAAATTTGACAGGATTAAAAAAAATAATGATTCAAACAAAACCAGATATTCCTGTTGATAAATCAAACAGCATGGGTGATTTAACCCTCAGCGTTGTGTCGAAGCACCCCCTCGGTGTTGACTCTGGTTCCTCCCCTAGGCTCATGTCAGTCCGTCTGTAGGGCCTGCGGTGGCACCGGCTCTTTGTTTGCGTGCCATTGCTGGCCCTTGTGTGGCATCGAGACAAAGGCTATTGTCAGTGCAGCCACAAAAAGAGACACTCTGGCTCTTGGTCCTCCTTATTTTCTCACACTCCTCATGCCGTGGTACGGAGCAGCTCCGTCGCTCCCCCACACACACACCAGCACATGATCCGGGTGGAGGAAGAATCACACACACTCACACCCGTCCGCAGACACACACTCGCTGCAGCTGCTGCTTTGTCGCAGTGTTTCAGATTTGGCACATGTGAATGGATTGTGAATAGACATCTATGAGAGTATGGGCTTGTTATATTGTTTTAGGTTTGAATGAGCACTGTTTGCTGCGTGTATTATTAGTCTATATTATTTACTACGCTGATGTTGAATGCTCGCTTAAGCACTGAGCAGGCATTACTAATCACACTAACAATACATCTAGCACCAGTGCAAAAGAAATATATTTTGGGTTATACGCAATAACCCTCGCTATATGCAATACAAGTTGTATTTGTGTAGCGCTTTTCACAATAATAGTTTCAAAGCTGCTTCACCGAAATGCATGTTTAACTGATGCTGTGTCATTTGGCCCTAATGAATCTAGCATTAAAGGCACACTATGCAGGAATCCCGTTTTTGTCAAACATTGCCCCCTAGTGTAGCTGTGGAGTACTTGTGTTTAACGTTGTGAATACCACTCACACATAGACTGGTCTCTGCACTCACGGCAGCTTTGAAGCTGTTATATTAAAGGGTTAGTTCACCCAAAAATGAAAATTAAGTCATTAATTACTCACCCCCATGCTGTTCAACCCCGTAAGACCTTCGTTCGTCTTCTGAACACAAATGAAGATATTTTTGATTAAATTTGAGAGGTGGATCACTGCTACATAGGCTGCCTAAGGGATTGAAACTTGACGGCCCAGAAAGTCACTGAAGAAAATGTTTAAATATTCCATGTGCCTACTGCCTACAGTGGCTGAAGTTTAAGTTTATCAAGCGACGAGAATACTTTTTGTGCGAAAGAACAAACAAAAATAGCGACTTTATTCGACTATTCCTTTTCTTCCTTCTGGGCCTGAGATTTCCACGACGCATGCGCAAGAATTGCGATCTCCTTCAACTAATTCAGTTCAGTTCTCGCACATGCGTCGTGGAAATCTCTTGAACTCTCGTCTCAGGCCCAGAAGGAAGAAAAGGAATAGTTGAATAAAGTCGTTATTTTTGTTTGTTTTTTCGACACAAAACAAGTATTTGCGTCGCTTGATAACCTTATAGCTGAGCCACTGTTATAAGATTTTCTTCAATGGCTTTCTTAGCCGTCAAGTTTCAATCCCTTATTTTCATTTTTGGGTGAACTGTCTCGAGTATCGAGCTTTTTCCATCGTCGAGTATCACCTCTGAAATGCGCGCAATTGTCTTCCTGCTTCATTGGTTGTGGTTGATGTGTGTGACATCGTTGGCATAAAGCATGTTGTGATACTCGCGAGATTTGTCGCTCCTCTCAAACTTGCATTGCTGATTTTTCCTTCGGCGTCCCCCTCAAGTTTTACTACCAGGAGGATTCGGCCTAATACGAGTTTGTTAACCACCGAAATGACTTTGAAGCTGTTATGTTAAATTACAATTCTTGCATTGTGTGGCTTTAAAGGTCAACTTATGACGTTCGCTTGGTTTTTGCATTCAAAAACATCAAAATGAATAAGTAATAGGCTATTTTCTACCCTTTCTCAAAAACGCTGGGTTTTCATGCGTGTCTCGCACTGAAGACTTGGAAGTAAACGCCCACTGCTGTGAGTGGATAACAGTTTTGCGTATTATAATGAGTTTCGACTCACCCGTCAGTGCACGTGGGGGAAATTGTTTTGAAAATGTCCAATGTTGTAAAATGGCAACCGGTCTGCAAATCCAGTCTTGTTTCCAAAACAATCCTCAGTGAAATGAAGCGAACAGACGGACAATGTTTTACCCTCATCAACTGGAACGTCATTAAAAATAAAGTTTATCCATGCAGTCCTATTGGAATCCAGAGGAAGCTTAAGCAGCGACTGTCTTCTTCCACAACCAGGCGCTGCACAATATTCAGAAAACAGTTATATACAAAGTAGCAAGACCGCTTCGGACCTTATAAGCGAGTGTTTAGCAATATTTTATCATCGTTGAGGGACTTAACAAGCAGCCATTATAGAGTTATGACCTAAAAACTCTAACCCTGGTTTCACAGAAAGGCTTAAGCCTAGTCCCAGACTAAAATGCAATGAGCTGCTTTACCTGAAAGCATATCTTAAAATATGTCACTGTCATTGTTTTGTCTGAAGATTTGTTTTTTTTTTCTTTCCTAAGGCACGTTTATAAAAGTTTGGAACTAATACTGGTTTCATCTAAGCCCTGTTTGTGAAACCGGGCCTATAAACTGCAAGCTGTCTAGATGGAAATTAGGTTGTAAGATACTATGTGTACATGTTTTTGGTTAAGGGAATAATGTCTCTGTTTTATCAGAATTAAATAGAGCAGTGTAAATAAATGAATGTCAATTTAATGGCAATGGTAATGTAACGACATGTTGACTGGTTAAAAGTAAGTTCCATGTGGAAATGTAGTTTAAGAAAAAAAGGCACTAAAATGTTGTTAAATTTACAGTGTTAAAAAAATCCCAGAATTCCATGTGAGATTTTTTTTTTTTATGTTTCTTAGTTGTTGTTTTTTTATCAGCTTTGTAAACTACGGTTTTATTCTTAGCTTGTTGTTAAATTAATGTTTATTGAATTGTTTTGCATCATGTGTGTTACCATAATGGTGTTGTGTGTGGACTGGACTTTTGAAATTCAGTTTTGAAATTCAGTGAAGGAAATTAGTGGTCATTCAGTCTTTAATTTCTTTAATACACTCTGAATAATACATTTCTTGAAGAAATACACAATATATCAGCATAATAATGGAAACTAATCTTGTGTTTACTGATAATATTTCCAATGGGAAGCTTGTATAAGCAAACAGTAGAGGGCCTAACACAGAGCCTTGCTGCACTCCATCCCTTCCTGGTGTCACATTAGACGGTTCCTCTTTTGAACAGAGGATATGATGTGTGTGAAGGTCTGATATAGTAGACATAAGCTGACCTTTCATGTGGCGTTGTTCTGAATCCCCAGGTTGTTATGAATGCTGTATGCGCTGTCTGGGAGGAGTGCCGTACGTCTCTCTCGTGGCCACTCTACTGTGTTTCTCTGGCATTGCTCTGTTCTGCGGCTGTGGACATCAGGCCCTTACAGAGAGCGAAAGACTCATCGAGACTTACTTCGCCCGTGACCATCAGGACTACATCACCCTAGCGTACCTGTGCGTGACCGAAGTATCTCTATGTGCTGTTTTAAAACAATTTTTTCGCCTATAATCAAAAGCTTCACAATAAAAATCTGAAAAGGGAAGTTTAATTAAAGAATGTTATGGTGTCAAAAGTGAATTTGTGCTAAAATTAGTAGTCCATGTTTTTATGTTTGAAACGATCAGTCATTTTAACATCTTTTAATCTTTCTTTCTTTCTCTCTGGTAGTATTGAGTATTTTCAGTACATCATCTATGTCCTGGCCTCCTTCTTCTTCCTGTACTGTATAGTCCTGCTGGCTGAAGGCTTTTACACCACCAGTGCAGTTCGCCAGTCATTTGGAGAATTTCGTAGTACAGTTTGCGGTCGCTGTCTCAGTACAACGGTGAGTGATTCGCAATGTAGGCTGCAGTTTGTATTGGCTACTTTCCACACACATTTGCTTTACTTTCTTCCTGAATGCAAAATGAGAAATTTTGATGAAGTTTTGAAGAACGCTGCACATTTCCATTCAATTAATCTACTTGGCTTCCAAAGGCAGTCCAATTCAAAAAGTTGATATTCACTGAATATGTTCCCCTATATCACTGCTATGTATTCAAAATTGGTGCTACATTTTTAGTTTAATGTGTCATTGATGTTAAACCTGGTGAAATGGATCACTTGAATAAGCATAAGTGCAATTATTTATTATTAAAGGAGTAGTTCACTTTTTAAAAAACTTTTGCTGATAATTTACTAACCCCCATGTCATCCGAGATGTCCACGTCTTTCTTTCGTTCTTCAGTCGAAAAGAAATTACTGAATTACATTACATTTTCTCCATATAATGGACTTCAATGGGAACCAAACGGTTCAAGGTCCAAAAGACAGTTTCAGTGCAAATTGTTCAAAGGGCTTTAAACGATTCCAGACGATGAATAAGAGTCTTGTCTAGGACCCTTCCAGTCATGATTCGAAAAAAGATTCGTTCATTTTGATGAACGAGTTCGAACAGGAGAGTCACGAACGCGCATCACAGAACAGAGCAAGGCGAGCATTTGAGCTTATAAAACTTAAACTTTGTTATTTATTTATTAAATGAGCGATCGTTTCACTTGATAAGACCCTTATTCATCGTCTGGAATCGTTTAAAGCCCTTTGAACAGTTTGCACTGAAACTCATTTAGACCTTGAACCGTTTGGTTCCCATTGAAGTCCATTATATGGAGAAAAATCCTGGAATGTTTTAATCAAAAACTTTAATTTATTTTCGACTGAAGAAAGAAAGGCATGGACATCTTGGATGACATAGGGGCTAATAAATTATCAGCAAACTTTTTTTTTTTTTAAAGTGAACTACTCCTTTAATTACTATTGAATTAAAATAAAATGCATCAAACTGATATGTGTATGCATTCGTCCCACAGTTCATCGTGATCACATATGTCCTGGTTGTTGTCTGGTTGCTGGTGTTCTCCCTGTCTGCGATTCCTGTGTATTTCTTCTACAACATGGCAAACACCTGTCAGACTATCAACTTCCTCTCTGAAACGCCCTCCAGCATCAACCAGCTGTGCATTGACGCCAGACAGTACGGTAATGACTCCGCGATGCATTCAAACAGCTTGGACATCAGATATCACAGCTCTGTAATAATGATTAAAGTCCTGTTGGTGAAGTGTCCTGATGTTCTCCGGAAAGCAGCGTATGAAAAAGAAACACTTGATTTCACATTTTGCTGTTATCTGAAATGTGTCAGATCACTTAATTCACGTGCATTGCCACATGAGGTGCTATTTTGTGCATTCGCCATGTGTGTGTGCTTCTCAAATGTTTAATTTTCAATTTAAGCCTTCCTGCTGGCTTGAAACATGTTTTTAATTTACAAATTAAAATGTTTATTTTGCAGTCAACTATCCTGACATCATAATTAAGATAAAAACCTTTTCTTTTTAATACAATATTGATATTTTTAAAATACGTATTTTTAAAAACACAAAACTGGAGAGTATGTCATAGAGACTGTGTGTCAAGGTCAATAATTTATGTCTCTAAAAATATAAAATATAATAATTCAACCTTTTTATGACATGTGAGGTCAATTTTAGTTCTCATAAGGTGACAAGCTTTCTCCCACAGAATAAAACAATTACCCTTTTAATGGCGAAAATATTCCATAGGTGTGTCTAAAAATCGAATTAGTAATAAATAACAATTATTTAAAGTCATTTTTCTTACCTTAATAATGATGTTCAAGATGTAAGGTGGAAAGTAGGACACTTGCTTGACATTTTAGAGTCACTACTAGTAATTTTTTTGTAAAAAGAATAAACGTCCATCGCCATAATAAACCAAATACACAGAGGACATTTCTAGGAACTTGGCGTGTAAGTAACCTAGATTGAAAAAAAAAAAGATTTGTCCATTTTGGGCATTATTATTTGTCATTGACCCACGTGTGTAAATGTAAATCTCAATAAAACTGTAAAATTGTGCCTTGATCTCTTTCATGCTGTTACAGTGTGTTGTGTCTCTGTCTCTCTAAGGTTTACTTCCATGGAACGCAGTCCCAGGAAAGGTTTGTGGGATGACCCTGTCGAATGTGTGCAAGACAAGAGAGGTAAGACTCAGTGCCTTCCCATAACTCCTTAGAAAACCTTCCTCGAAGCTGAGATCAAACATTGAGTGTTCAGGACGTCATGTTTCGTTTCTGACTTGTTTTCCAGTTTTTCTTGACCTATGACCTGTACATCGCTGCCTTCGCTGGAGCGGGGATGACGGTCTTGGCTCTGGTGAGTGTGTGCAGAACTGAACACAATCACAGTGTGTTTTCATGACGCCATTCCTGTAGGTGTCGAGGAATTCTCTCCCTGCATTTATTAAAGGGCTGGCTGTCATTTATTGTTCTCAAATGCCTTGGATGATTGTGAGAACCGCTTATTTCGCGTTTGGAGGGAGCACTGTGAAAATGTCATGACCGCACATGTGACTTTCTCATATCTGACGTTTGAGTTGCTGCTGAGCTTTCTTATAAAGTGCAATGTGATTTTCATTAAAAGGCTAGTTCACCCAAAAATGAAAATTCTGTCAGTATTTACTCACCCTCATGTTGTTCCAAACCTCTATGTGTTTATTTGTTCGGCTGAACACAAAGGAAGATATTTGGAAGAATGTTTTAATGAAACAGATCTCAATCCCCATTGACTTCCATAGTAGGAATGGTAGTCAATGGGGAATGAGATCTGTTTGATTAAAACATTCTTCCAAATATCTTCCTTTGTGTTCAGCCAAACAAATAAACACATCGAGGTTTGGAACAACATGAGGGTGAGTAAATACTGACAGAATTTTCATTTTTGGGTGAACTAACCCTTTAAAGTAAAGGAGTAGTTCACTTATGAAAAAACTTTTGCTGATAATTTACTCGCCCCCATGTCATCCAAGATGTCCATGTCTTTCTTTCTTCAGTCGAAAAGAAATGAAGGTTTTTGATGAAAACATTCCAGGATTTTCCTCCATATAATGGACTTCAATGGGGACCAAACGGTTCAAGGTCCAAAAGACAGTTTCAGTGCAAACTGTTCAAAGGGCTTTAAACGACACCAGACGATGAATAAGGGTCTTATCAAGCAAAACGATCGCTCATTTAATAAATAAACAACAAAGTTTAAGTTTTATAAGCTCAAATGCTTGCCTTGCTCTGTTCTGTGATACGCGTTTGTGACTCTCCTGTTCGAACTCATTCATCAAAATGAATGAATCTTTTTCCGAGTCATTTGGTTCATTCAACAAACGAGAAAAAGATTTGTTTGAAATATTTATTAAATGAGTGATCGTTTCGCTTGATAAGACCCTTATTCATCGTCTGGAATCGTTTAAAGCCCTTTGAACAGTTTGCACTGAAACTGTCTTTTGGACCTTGAACCGTTTGGTTCCCATTGAAGTCCATTATATGGAGAAAATCCTGAATGTTTTCATCAAAAACCTTAATTTCTTTTCGACTGAATAAAGAAAGACATGGACATCTTGGATGACATGGGGGTGAGGAAATTATCAGCAAAAGTTTTTTTGAAAAGTAAACTACTCCTTTAAGGACGGTACTCAAGTAAATTTACTTTGTTACTGTCCACATGAGATCTCATCACACCCCTAAGTAACAACCACCCAGAACATTAGCATTGTGGGTTGGGTTTTTCTGATTGGTTTTATCTTTTGTTTCTGTCTTTCTGTCTTCAGCTCACATATACTGTGTCTACCACCTATAACTTTGCGGTTCTGCGGTATCTGGGGAGGAAAGGCATCAGTCCGCGGTGTTAACATCTCTTCTGTCCTGGTGTCCACTGGTCCCTCTACCCTCAATAACAGCACCATTTCTCATCTCGTGCTTTTCCACAACACTATTTCCTGGCTGTTTTTTACATTTTTTGGATTTAAAGGTTTCGATTTTGGAATCTTTTCTCCAAACTATCTCCTTTTTCCACCTGTACCCCTCCCGTGCACCAGGGGAAGTATTCTGCCTTCAAGTCTTCTGGGACGTTATACAAAACGGGTGTGCAAAAGATCCATGTATTTTTCATTCTTGTGCTGCCACAAAGAATGACGGCAGTTGTAGTTTTGGTCTCAGTCGCCTCATAATCCAGCTAAACAAGTCGTTTTTTTTCATGTTTTCAAGCCAACTTTATCAATATTCTTCTTCAGCAGTACACAACTAAACTATACAGTCAACTTATGACCTAGCCAAGGCCTAGATAGTGATTTTGAAATTGTGTATAACACATAACACTGACTGTAAAATATTTATCTATGGGGTGGCATACTTTGAGTTTTGATCATTTTACCGGGCTAGTTTTGTTACACAGAGCTAACGACTGTGATCATGCCAACACAACTTGAAGTCAACTATAAGCATTGGATTCCATTTTTTACCCTTTTTCATTTTTGGTTTTTGAGATGTGATACTATAGATCATAGATATATGTACATATATGCCTTATTAGTGGCAGTTTCTATGAGTCGCTTTACATATATACATAAGAGGTCCGCCATATTGGAACAGTCAAAGCAGGTCCATGAACATTTGAGAGCAAGTTGATTGGGCGTCTGTAACTTTTTGAATGAATATCTATATATGAAATAGACTTCAGCAGATGATTTTACTAAACTAACACAAGAAGACAAGATGAAGGCGTCAGCTAACATGACATTAAAAAGTTACCATAATATAAGTAAAAACATTGAGACAAACCAACACATTCTCATCTGTGAAAGGTTCTCCCATTTCTTTAGGAATTTAAATCTGGGTAGTTTCACAACGAGAAGCTGTGCAATGTCGTGGCATCACTGGCCCTGTTTACTCCTGGTGTTAAGGTGTGTTTTGTTCGATCGGATCACAAGTAGACGAATAAGACACATTCCCGTTTACACCCAGTGTTTTAATCCGTCTCTTTTGTCCACTTTCAACCACTTCTGTCCACTGTCATTGTCTATAGGCGGGAAATGGAATAGGTTTTCAGATCTTTCGATCTAATGGACAAAATAAGCTCATGCAATTTACATATGAACGCGCCCGGAGACCGCAAGACCAGCCGAACGCTGTGAGTGTGTGTCAGAGATCAGAAATGGTGAGAGAACTTTGTGCTTGGTACGTTTTTCATCTTCAAACCAAACTTGGGTCTCCAGCCAACAAAGTTTATCTCCTGTCTGGTTAGCGTTCTTCCCATAATGTTCACTCATTAGATCAGGAGAGCAGACGATTTTTTATGGCTGTTTCAACGCATTCGACCCCATGAGCGTTTCCACCGCAGGAACTTTCCCCAGGAACTAGGAACTTTGGTTCGCGGTGTAAACGCAGTAAGCAAGCGGTCTGGGGCAAAAAAAGTTCCTATGAAAGAAGTTCCTGGGTGAAATAGTTCCTGGTAATTGCGGTGGAAACGTGGCTTATGTTGCTGTCTGGGAAGTGGACAAGCTCAAAATGTTTTAGACCCTGTTTACAAATGTATTTGGCGAAAACCACGTGATCCGATCGACCAAAGTGGAGATGGTCCTCACTGCGGAACATGAAATCCATGGGGAGGAGTCGGATCCAGATCCAACTCCTCCCACCTTACATACACCTAAACCTAACCAACTCCGCCCCCTGATCCCTAAACCCAACCCTAATCCTACCCGTCTTCACCCCTTGGATCGTGATCCGACTCCTCCCCGTGGTTCTCATGTTCTGCATTGAGGTGCTATTGCCAAAGTGCTTCATAATAAAACCAGCTTTAATTCTTACGGTGAGTGACAAAATGCTGACTGTTCCAAGATGGCGGGAGCGCCGACATGTCTAATATGGCATCTACGTATACATATCTATGCTATAGACTTTACATGCCAGAGAAACAAGTGCTCTTTAGATCGCTGTCGAAGAGTAATTAGCTGAAGTGGATCTACTTACTGTTGAGTTAACGAAAGTTTAGCATTGTAATGTTTGAAGCCGATGTCATAAGAAATGTCAGAAGACCAGGAAGATTTTCATGCTGTGGGAATACAAACCGGAAGACCGGACACAACGAGCACAGAGCTGAAAAGGGGTGGAGCTACATGAGGTCAATAGCAGGATAGTTTGATTGTTTCTTTATGAAATATTAGTTTACAGTCCATTTGACGCCGTCTGCTGGTCTATTCATGACTGAAATTACTTGATTAGACAGCTTTAGAAAATAAAAAACAAAATGGCTACAACTTTATTATTGAGGTGTCCGTGTTACAATTATGCATTTAAGTAATGAGTAATAATTAACTACATGTACTTACTATAAAGTTAGGTGCATGTTATTAAGCTTGGTGGTGGTGATGGCGCAGTGGATAAGACACATGCCTTTGGTGTGAGAGTCCCGGGTTCGAATCCACTGTGAGACACCAATGTGTCCCTGAGCAAGACACTTAACCCCTAGTTGCTCCAGAGGCGTGCGACCTCTGACATATATAGCAATTCTAAGTCGCTTTGGATAAAAGCATCAGCTAAATATAAATTTTAATTTACTCTAAGTATGTAGCATGTAACAAGGACACCGTAAAATAAAGTGGTACCAACAAAACCATTGGGTTGTAATACCACAACATCAGATTTTTAGACCCTCAATCGTGGTGATCCCTGGTTTCCATGGTGACCATCCCTCACATCTGGTTGCCATGGAGAGAGAGACAGCAATGTGTGACCCCAGAACTTTTTTTCTCACAGTCTCTTGAAAGGACTGAGTAAAGCCTAAACAATGGACCCGCCCCTCTTTGTTGGAGGAAAGCCCACTCCACAGGGGTCAGTTTACGCGTCACAAGATATCGCCCGCGCACAAAGAGGCTTCTGGGACTTTCAGCCGCTTGAATAAAAGCCTGTGCACAGATGGGGCAAATGATGTCTAATGCATAGAGGGTGTCAGTGCTAATAGTGTTTCACGCCTGGGATATTTCACTCATAATTGAGAGCAAAAATGTAGAAAAGTCTTCCTAGCCGTAGCTTAATTTAGTTTCGTTTTCTGTATATACATTTTTTTTTTTATAACAAAAGTTGGTAACACTTTATTTCGATAGTCCACTTTAGACATTCTACTAACTATAAGTAACTTTTCAACTACATGTCATTAGAGTATTAGTAGACTGTCAGCTTAATATCTGCTTAACACTTTATTTTGTTGGTCCCCCAACAGACATTCAACTGACTATAAGTAACTTGGCGAATACAAGTAAACTTATTCTCCTAACTCAAAGCCTAACACCTAACCATAACCTAACAGTCTGACAGTCTACTATAATATACTAATACTCTAATGAGAGTTAGTTGACACGTAGTTGAAAAGTTACTTATAATTAGTAAAATGTCTAAAGTGACTATCGAAATAAAGTGTAACCCAAAAGTTGACCAATTCAGGGATTGATTATTTGAACATTTTTTTTTACAATGAAAGTGTTTTGTTGGCTGCTTGATCGCCCCCTAGTGTTTGGTGACAGCAGGATTCTAGTGTAGATTTAAAGCAGTAGTTCACCTAAATAGTTCACAAATGAAAACGGTCATCAGTGAATCGCCATACGTCGTTTCAAACCGCCTCACTAAAAAACAATGTTAGGCAGTGAAGTATGCACTATATTCCAAGTCTTCTGAACTCGCACTAAATCTAAGATTTTTTTTATTTCCCTGGAAAAAACATGCCCTTTACCATGGGTTTTCATCTCATTTGTGCTTCCTCCTATTCAAATTTAGCTCAATGCAATTTTGAGTAATTTGAAAACAATCCTGTCAGGATCCATCATAGAAGACTTGAAATTATATGGACAACTTTAATTATGCCTTTATGTCATGATGGAGCTTTTGCTTGCTATTCCGGTTTGAAAAAGAACAGCGTGAACATTCTTAGAAATATCACTAAAAATGTATACTCAAGTGATCACATTTAGTTAATATAGAGCTTCATATAAGGATTGTTTCAAAGCAGGTTCACATTAATAAACAGGAAAATAACAGTGTTGGGGCTTGTTCAGCTGGTTGCTGTTAAAAATGCGAGATGAGGTCAGTGGAACGAAAAAAAGCGGAACTTTTTAAAAGTTGAACTTATTATAACTTGAGGGCCATGTTTTTAGAATGCTGTCTTTAGAATGCTGTGTTTATCACGCTATATCTTTAGAACACCATGTCTTTAGAAGACCATGTTTTTAGAACGCCGTGTCTTTAGAATTCTGCGCTGTGTTTTTAGAACGTAGGCTGTGTTTTTAGAATTCTGCGCTGTTTTTAGAACGCTACGCTGTGTTTTTAGAACGCTGCCCTGTGTTTTTAGAATGCTACGCTGTGTGTTTAGAATGCTAGCCTGTGTTTTTAGAATTCTGTGCTGTGTTTTTAGAATACTACGCTGTGTTTTTTTAGAACGCTGCCCTGTGTTTTTAGAATGCTACACTGTTTTTAGAACACTAGGCTGTTTTTAGAACGCTAGGCTGTGTTTTTAGAACGCTACGCTGTGTTTTTAGAACACTAGGCTGTTTTTAGAACGCTACGCTGTGTTTTTAGAACATTGCTCTGTGTTTTTAGAACACTACTCTGTTTTTAGAACGCTGCCCTGTGTTTTTAGAATGCTATGCTGTTTTTAGAACGCTACGCTGTGTTTTTAGAATGCTACGCTGTGTTTATAGAACACTGCGCGCGCTGTGTTTTTAGAACGCTGCCCTGTGTTTTTAGAATGCTGTGCTGTTTTAAGAACGCTGCCCTGTGTTTTTACAACGCTGCCGTGTTTTTTTAGAACGCTGCGCTGTGTTTTTAGAATGCTGCGCTGTGTTTTTAGAACACTGCCCTGTGTTTTAAGAACGCTGGCTTGTGTTTTTACAACGCTGCCCTGTGTTTTTAGAATGCTGCCCTGTGTTTTTAGAACGCTGCCCTGTGTTTTTAGAATGCTGCACCGTTTTAAGAACGCTGCCCTGTGTTTTTAGAACGCTGCCCTGTGTTTTTAGAACGCTGCCCTGTGTTTTTCAACGCTGCCCTGTGTTTTTACAACGTTGCCCTGTGTTTTTACAACGCTGCCCTGTGGTTTTAGAATGCTGCGCTGTTTTAAGAACGCTGCCCTGTGTTTTTTTAGAACGCTGCCCTGTGTTTTTACAACGCTGCCGTGTTTTTTTAGAACGCTGCGCTGTGTTTTTAGAATGCTGCGCTGTGTTTTTAGAACGCTGGCTTGTGTTTTTACAACGCTGCCCTGTGTTTTTAGAACGCTGCCCTGTGTTTTTACAACGCTGCCGTGTTTTTTAGAACGCTGCCCTGTGTTTTTACAACGCTGCCCTGTGTTTTTACAACGCTGCCGTGTTTTTTTAGAACGCTGCCCTGTGTTTTTACAACGCTGCCCTGTGTTTTTACAACGCTGCCCTGTGTTTTTACAACGCTGCCCTGTTTTTTACAACGCTGCCCTGTGTTTTTAGAACGCTGCCCTGTGTTTTTAGAACGCTGCCCTGTGTTTTAAGAACGCTGCCCTGTGTTTTTAGAACGCTGCCCTGTGTTTTTACAACACTGCCCTGTGTTTTTACAACGCTGCCCTGTTTTTAGAACGCTGCCCTGTGTTTTTACAACGCTGCCCTGTGTTTTTACAACGCTGCCCTGTGTTTTTAGAACGCTGCCCTGTGTTTTTACAACGCTGCCCTGTGTTTTTACAACGCTGCCCTGTGTTTTTAGAACGCTGCCCTGTGTTTTTACAATGCTGCCCTGTGTTTTTAGAACGCTGCCCTGTGTTTTTACAACGCTGCCCTGTTTTTTTACAACGCTGCCCTGTGTTTTTAGAACGCTGCCCTGTGTTTTTACAACGCTGCCCTGTGTTTTTAGAACGCTGCCCTGTGTTTTTACAACGCTGCCCTGTGTTTTTACAATGCTGCCCTGTGTTTTTAGAACGCTGCCCTGTGTTTTTACAACGCTGCCCTGTGTTTTTAGAACGCTGCCCTGTGTTTTTAGAACGCTGCCCTGTGTTTTAAGAACGCTGCCCTGTGTTTTTAGAACGCTGCCCTGTGTTTTTACAACGCTGCTGTGTTTTTTTAGAACGCTGCCCTGTGTTTTTACAACGCTGCCCTGTGTTTTTACAACGCTGCCGTGTTTTTTTAGAACGCTGCCCTGTGTTTTTACAACGCTGCCCTGTGTTTTTACAACGCTGCCCTGTGTTTTTACAACGCTGCCCTGTGTTTTTACAACGCTGCCCTGTGTTTTTAGAACGCTGCCCTGTGTTTTAAGAACGCTGCCCTGTGTTTTTAGAACGCTGCCCTGTGTTTTTACAACGCTGCCCTGTTTTTAGAACGCTGCCCTGTGTTTTTACAACGCTGCCCTGTGTTTTTACAACGCTGCCCTGTGTTTTTAGAACGCTGCCCTGTGTTTTTACAACGCTGCCCTGTGTTTTTACAACGCTGCCCTGTGTTTTTAGAACGCTGCCCTGTGTTTTTACAATGCTGCCCTGTGTTTTTAGAACGCTGCCCTGTGTTTTTACAACGCTGCCCTGTGTTTTTAGAACGCTGCCCTGTGTTTTTACAACGCTGCCCTGTGTTTTTAGAACGCTGCCCTGTGTTTTTACAACGCTGCCCTGTGTT